GTCGGAGGGTCAGTGCTGAGGGAGCGCCGCACTGTCGGAGGGTCAGCGCTGAGGGAGCGCCGCACTGTCGGAGGGTCAGCGCTGAGGGAGCGCCGCACTGTCGGAGGGTCAGCGCTGAGAGAGCGCCGCACTGTCGGAGGGTCAGCGCTGAGGGAGCGCCGCACTGTCGGAGGGTCAGTGCTGAGGGAGTGGGCACTGTCGGAGGGTCAGTGCTGCGGGAGCGGGCACTGTCGGAGGGTCAGTGCTGAGGGAGCGCCGCACTGTCGGAGGGTCAGTGCTGAGGGAGCGCCGCATTGTCGGAGGGTCAGTGCTGAGGCAGTGCTGTACTTTTGGAGGGTCATTATTGAGGGAGTGCTGCAACATCATGATGTCAAGTAAAACGTCTCCCGGTGTCTTGGCCAACATTTCTCCCTGAGAGAATTTGACCAAACCCGACAATGTGGCCATGATCACGTTGCTGAATATGTGCAATTTTCGTGTGAGTAAATTCACTCTGTCATTTTATACGTAATAACGGAGACAATAAAAATACAGAGTGGATGGATAAAACACTTTAGGATGCGCTAATGTCGAGGAAGGTACTATTGGAGGAGAAACTTATCTTTCTTTTATCCAATCCTGGTACAGGTCAGAGACAGTGAGTTTGAAATGGGATTTGGAAAGTTAATGTTAAGCTGACAGGGCACAGTATGTTCCTGCTGTTCACATTATGACTGATCTCCCTTGATGTTGATATTATATTCACCCTTGTCTCTTCAATTAGACGCCAGTCTTGGTGCAGTGACCAGTGAACTGTTGAACCAAGGCTATTTGACTAACTTAGTTACTGCCTGAAGACCATATGGTACTAAAGTCACAGTCAAATAGCTAGCTCCAGTGAGGCAGAGTTTTAATATGTGTCCACATTTTTCTGAGTGATCAGTTGAAGGGGGCTGTATCTGTCGATGGATTTATTTGGTGAGCGCAGAGCCTGGGTTCGCTGAATCCCTGGACAGTTTATCTTTACGATTAATACAGCAAAAAAAAATGTTAATTAATGCATTGTCACGCCACAAGTGTAGAGCTTTCCAGTACAACATCTTGAAAGGTAAAAGCTAGGGAAGGCAGAAAAACGATGTCCATAATTGATAGAAATCGAAAGGATTGCAGTTGCTGGAAGTCAGAAACAAAAACAGAGATTGCTGGAAAAGTAGACGTTGGTGAGGGACCTTATGGACACGCCAAATTTCCTGAGCTGCCTGGGGAAGGAGAGGCATTGCTGTGCCTTCTTGACTGTCGCATCTACATGGGAGGTCCTGGACAAATTGTCAGTTATCGTCACTCTGAGGAACTTGATGCTCTTCACTCTCTCAACCTCAGTTCTGTTGATGTAGATCGAGACATGTTCTCCTTCTTTCTTTCTGAATTCGATGATCAGTTCTTTAGTTTTGCAGACGTTGAGAGAGAGGTTGTTCTCATTGCACCATGTCACTAAGCCCTCTATCTCCATTCTGACACATCCAAAGTTGCTATCCAAAGTTAGATATCCAAAGTTGCTGGAAAAGCTCAGTAGGTCTGGCAGCATCTGTGAAGGTAAAAAACAGAGTTAGCGTTTCGGGTCCGGTGACCCTTCCTCAGAACCGGACCTGAAGGGTTAACTCTGTTTTTTCTTTCACAGATGCTGCCAGACCTGCTGAGCTTTTCCAGCAACGTTGGTTTTGTTCCTGATTTACAGCATCCTCAGTTCTTTCGGTTTTTATCATTAGATATCCATCCTACTATGGTGGTTTTATCAGCAAACTTGTGGATGGTGTTTTTTTGGGATTTGGCTACACATTCGTGAGTGTACAGGGAGTACTGTAAAGCTCTGAGGAAGCATCCTTTGGGGGGGCTCCAGTGTTGAGTGTTATTGTGGAGGAGGTACAGTTACATATCCTCACTGATTGCAGCCTATGGGTCAGAAAGCTGAGGATCCAGTTGTAGAAGGTGGAGCCGAGACCAACGTCATGCAGTTTTGAGATCAGTCTGGAGGCCCAGGACTGTAAGAAACTACAGAAGGTGGTGTGCACAGCCCAGACCATCACGGAAGCCAACATTCCATCCATGGACTCCATTTACACGGCTCGCTGCCGCGGAAAGGCTGTCAACATCATCAAAGATAACAAGGTGTAGAGCTGGATGAACACAGCAGGCCAAGCAGCATCAGAGGAGCAGGAAGGCTGACGTTTCGGGCCTAGACCGACTGTGTTCATCCAGCTCTACACCTTGTTATCTCAGATTCTCCAGCATCTGCAGTTCCTACTATCTCTGAAACATCATCAAAGACCTATCGCACCCCGTAATGATCTCCTACAACCTCTTCCATCAGGCAGAAGATACAGAAGCTTGAACACACGCACCAGAGGGTTCAAGAACAGCTTTTTCCTGGCCATTATAGGTCTGATGAATGGACTCTCCAGCCTCACATAATGCTGACTGCGCTAATGTTGATCTCACCTAGCGCATGCCCTGTGCAATGTAACTTGTCTAAGTCTTTTTGATCTGTACATCCTTTGCTTACTATGATGCCCGTATTGCTCATAAGCAAAAGTTTTCACTTTATTTCAGTGCATGTGACAATAAGTCAATCAATCAATCACTTAATCAGTCTGTGAGGATGCTGCCAAACCTGCTGAGCTTTTCCAGCAATCTCTATTTTTGTTACAGAATTGATAGGATGGGTATAAATAAACATTTCTCACTAGTTGGAGAGGCACGGTCAAGGGCAAAGTCCTATAATCCATGCAGGACGGAATCTGAGGAACATAAAGGGGCAATTAAAGCTTGAAACGCACTGAGAGCTGGGGCTCAATCATTGTTTTACAGCTGAGAGATCGCCTGATAGTGAGACAGCTCCAACCCTAATGTTCGCTTGCCCAAACACCCGAAATCTCCGCACTCTTGGAATCCCTTTCATCCCGGATTTTCATTGTCCAGGCAGCTGTGTCCGAATGCGAAGCTCTGGAATTCTCCCCTCCCCTTCAACTTCCCTCCTTTCTCTTCCTCACTTTCTGTCTTTCAGCTTAAAACCAAATCCCTCTGACCAAGCCTGGTCCCCTCATGTGGCCTGGTGTCACACGTGGTGTACACATTCTCTGGCGAAGTAGCCCTGCGATGTTGCACTGGGTGACAGGCGCTGTACAAATGCAACTTCGTATTTATCTCCCCTATGAGAAAGCATTTCACAATTTGGAAGGATTTGTGAAGAAGCGAGAGGTGATGTGGGGAAAGTGCACACTGTGAGTAGTCAGGCTCTGGAATGTACTCCCTGGGAAATGTGCAGGTTCCATCCAGGCAAGTCCATAGGGGCGTGAGACCCCAACTAGTAGGGAGCAGCAGTCGGCCACTCGGCCCCTCGAGCCTGCTCCACCATTCAGGAGAAGAGTGGGATGGGGTGGCTATTTGAATAGGAATGGTGTGCGGGGAAGAGGGGAAAGGCAGGAGATGGGCTCTGGGTAACGACTGAAGAGCCTGGTGCAAGCATGATGGGCTGAATGGCCTGCAACGACTCTGAGATTCCAACTTGTCACATCTGCGCCCTTTTAACCAGAGGGTCAGTGCCCCTGGGTAAGAGATGTTGAAAGTGGGAGGGGAGGGGGTGTGGGGACGTGGAGGTGAGACCCTTTATGGGTGACCCCTGCACAGAGAGCCTGGTGGGTGGGGACGAACAGTGGCACTGACAGATTAAAGCATTTGGTAAACACAACCGTATACTCCCACACAGGTCTATCAGAGAATTATCACTGCACATCTTTGCAGAAACTGCTCAAGTATTTCATTAATCCTGCCCCTTCAGTAGGGGCTAAAGTATTGGACAGGGAGATAATAGCGGGCAGGTTAATGTTTAATTCTTTCTGTGGCGTGTACAAAACTGGCTCCTGTTCCTGGGCTCAGCCTCAGTTCACACAGTGTTGGGTTGTTCAGGGACTTGGCTGAAGCTATGATCAAGTACTGGAAGATTGTGTGGGCTTTCCGTAGCCAGCTGATTATATTCCTGGTGCCACTCTTACTGCTACCACTCCCTCTGGTCATCCCAACAAAGGTAAGACAGCAACAACCCTCACCACCCCCACCCCCCCACCCCCCACCCCCAGGCTCTGCCTCTCCTGTAGGTCAGCAATTAAGGGGGGAGGGTGTGCAGGGGGCTCTTCGAGAAGGGGGCATGACCATGATGTTAGAGAAACAGCAAGAACTGTCAATGCTGGAGTCAGAGATAACACAGCGTGGAGCTGGATGAACACAGCAGGCCGGGCAGCATCAGAGGAGCAGGAAAGCTGACGTTTCGGTTCTTCAGAAAAAATGCCCAGACCACTGCTGTTTGCTGAGGTTAAACAGCAAAGCCCCTTCAGCCCTGGCACCAGTTCCTGGGGACGGCCTCATTTTCACCCCAAGGTGACAGGCAACGGTCCACAACACTCTTCAGAAAGTGGGTACAACTCCTGTGCCACGTCCCGATGGGGTTCACTAGCTGGGTCAGGGTAATTATACCAAAGGGTCTGTTTCCATGCTACCTGATTCCATATGAGTCTTAAAGGAGGAATGTGTGGGAGAGAGATAGAGGGTTACGAGTGAAATTCCACAACTCAGAGCCAAAGCAATCAAACAGTTCCAATCGGAAAGGGCCAGTGTTTGAGAAACTTCTGTCAGCGTGTGTTACAAATGGAGGAAAAGGTTAAGAAAACAAGAAATCAAGACAGATGGGAAAGTGTTTCTAACGCCGTGCTGTCCCTGTCCCTGGGAGTGTTTGATGGGGACAGTGTAGAGGAAGCTTTACTGTGTATCTAATCCCATGCTGTACCTGTCCTGGGAGCGTTTGATGGGGGACAGTGCAGAAGAAGCTTTACTCTGTATCTAATCCCACGCTGTCCCTGTCCCTGGGAGCGTTTGATGGGGGACAGTGCAATGGAAGCTTTACTCTGTATCTAACCCTGTGCTGTCCCTGTCCTGGGAGTGTTTGATGGGGACGGTGTAGAGGGAGCTTTACTCTGTATCTAACCCCATGCTGTCCCTGCCCTGGGAGTGTTTGATGGGGGGGATGGTGTATAGTTGTCTGAGTAATAACTGATTGGTGGGTCTGAAGGTTATTGAAACTGTCAGTAAAGCAGGTGGTTGAGAGCTCCTGGTTGATGACAATGCAAATGAGATGTTATATCTTGTTTGAGGCTTTTTCCGTTATTCTGATCCTTATCAGTCAGAGCATAAACTAATTATGTGGACTTTAGCACCTGGTTGTACCTGTTCAGTGGTAAAGCCTGATTTTACTGCCAAAAGTAATGCATTAATTTTCTGTGCTTTTTCTCACATTATGTAACTAAGACAGGATCTGCACGTTTCACATTCTTGTCCTGAGCCTGTGATCTTTCTGCATTGAATCAGAATTTGTCCCAGTGCCCCATTGCTGCAATAGATCACTGACCTTTCACTAACAGCTCCTCACTCGCTCCATGAGCAATGAGAGAGTGGGCAGTGCCTTGCTATCGGATACCTGCGCCAGTTATTTCAGCTCTTTATCAGCATTTGAAAGCAAGTTTGGACCATTTTGCTCCGACAAGATTAAACAATCATTTCTGTGTGAAATACTTTGCTGACGGGGTCAGTGGTTATAGTATGCCCCAGTTTGCCATCTAGAACGTAGCGCTGAGTATCTCCCTGCATAACAGGATATATCCTGCTCAGTGTTTTACTGTCAGGAGCTAATTCCATTACTAGTGGTCACAATGGGATTAAGAAATTGCATTCCTATAGCGCCGTTCAAAACCTTGGCACTGTCCTGCACTGCGAGAGAATGGCAGCTTCCCTCCTGGTGTCTTTCAGTGTCAGAATTAAAACAAAAATCTCTCTCTACAATTTTCCTCCCAAAGCAATTACACATTTTATTCCAGCCACCATTAATTACCCACTCACCTATCCCATGTATAGAGAAGCATTTTCATATTTCCCTCAAAACTTAATTTCCTGCTGAACTTTGTATCATCCATAAATCTGGGTACAGTCCTCTTGGTTCCTTCATGGAAGTCACTTATATAGTTGTTGACTAAGTCAGATCTTAGCTCTGACCCACGTGGAACCTAACCAGTCAGAGCCTTCCACAGGAAAGTTACTGCTGTCTCTCTTTCCCACCTGTCCTCAATCTAAGCTGACACATCATCTCAAATCACATGTGATCCCTGAATTCTGTATCATCACCTCTTTGTGCAGCAGGTTATCGCATGGGTTTGGAAAATTCAAATACTCTGCAGCAACTGAGTTCTGGTCTCGCTGCTACAGGAAACTTGAAAGTCTTCAGAAAAGATTTACAGGGATGTTGCCAGGGTTGGAGGGTTTGAGCTACAGGGAGACGCTGACTAGGCTGGGGCTATTTTCCCTGGAGTGTCGGAGGCTGAGGGGTGACTTTATAGAGATTCATAAAATCGTGAGGGGCTTGGATAGGGTGAAGAGCCAAGGTCTTTTCCCCAGGGTGGGGGAGTCCAAAACTAGAGGGGCATAGGTTTAAGGTGAGAGGCGAAAGATTTAAAAGGGACCTAAAGGGCAACTTTTTCATGCAGAGGGTGGTGCATGTATGGAAGGAGCTGCCAGAGGAAGTGGTGGAGGCTGGTACAATTACAACATTTAAACAGCATCTGGATGGGTATATGAATAGGAAGGGTTTAGAGGGATATGGGCCAAATACTGGCAAATGGGACTAGATTAATTTAGGGAATCTGGTCAGCATGGACGGGTTGGACTGAAGGGTCTGTTTCTGTGCTGTTACAGCTCTATGGGTCTATGGTGGTTTGCTCTTTGTCTGATCAAAACACTGACATGCCACGCACTGTTTCATTCAGTTAAATTGGTGTTGACACGAACATTAGCATTAGGGAGAGAAGTACACCATTGCACATTATTCAGGAGAAAGTCCCTCTTTGTTAGCTGATTTTTCTCGTGCAGCAGATTTTAAAAGGAATGCTTGAATAGAGAGACCCGTGATTTGTTCATCGACACATTATTGAAAGTGGCAGAGTAGATGGAGAGAAGGTGTTCCAGTTTGTAAAAGAGAATCAAGATCAAAGGGGCATAGATTGAGAGTGATGCGCAAATGGAGCAAGGGTGACATGAGAAAAAAACTTTTTCACTCAGGGTCTGGAATACACTGCCTGGAAATACGATGGAGGCAGGTTCGATTGAGGCATTGAAAAGGGGCATTTGGTTAAAACACAGTGCACAGGCACATGGGGGAAAGACAGGAGATTGGCGTTGGGTAGACAAACCCATGCAGATGTGATGGGCTGAATGGTCTCTCTCTGTGCTGTACCACCTCTGTGATTGTGGGACCAGTTATGAAGATTGTCAAAGGTTAAGAGGATTAGAGATTAAAAGCAAGGAAGTTATGTTAATCCTTTACAAATTCTGGTCAGGTCCCAGTTGGAGATTATGGGGTTGGGGGTGGGGAATGGTTTCAGAAGGATATCATGGCCTCTGAGAGGGAACGGAGGAGAATTACTCAACTGTTTCCAGGGTTGAGGGACTTTGCAGAGTTGTGGAGAGGCTGGAGAAACTGGGACAGAACAGGGAGGATTACAGGCGCTTTTCATCAGGGCATTCTTAATCACATAGGGTTTAAATCAAGTAAATATGGAGAAACTGTTTCTATTGTCAGGGGATCAATAATTACAGGAAAACAGATTTAAGACATTTCACAACAGAAGCCAGGAAAGGGACAGCAGAGCACTTACTGGAATCAGAGAATGTTGTGAAATCCGAAGGAGGGGATGAGAATATGTTTAGGCAGTGAGTTACTGGAATTGGGAATGTTCTGTCTGTGAAGCATGTGTAGGAGTCAGTTGAACAGGAACTGTCGAACACAGATTGGATAAGAGCCTGGCAGGAAGGGAGTTGGAGGTCAGTGGGGAAAGAGTGGGTATGTGAAGTAGGACTGTTTGGGTAACTCTTTTCAGCACAGGCTGCAGGGGCTGAATGGCCTCTGTAGATTTCTGTTGAATGGATCAATGGTGAGTGCTAGTGCTAGTAGACAATGCTATGGCCTTCATAGAAACCAGTGTGGTCCATGTTAGGCATGGCTCCCACTGAGCAGCTCTGCTGTGGTCTCAGTGCAAGTCCTTTACACACTCATAGAAGGATTGCACAACGCTCACAGTGTGGAAACAGGCCATTCAGCCCATCAAATCCACACCAACTGTCTGAAGAGCATCCCACCCAGACCCCCCACTACCCTATCCCTGTAACCCTCCATTTCCCATGGTCAATCCACCCTAACCTGTACATCTTTGGACTGTGGGAGGAAACCGGAGCACCCGGAGGAAACCCGCGCAGACACGGGGAGAATGTGCAAACTCCACACAGACAGTCACCCGAGGGTGGAATCGAGCCCAGGTCCCCGGCGCTGTGAGGCAGCAGTGCTAACCACTGAGCCACCGTGCCACTCATGGACAGACTCCTTATTGAGACTTGTTCCCTCCACGCACTAACCTCAGCAAATGAGGAAGCTACTCCTTTGGGGAGTTGTGTTTGCTGAATAAGTAAATCTCTGTATAATGAGCTGTTTGCTGCTGCAATATGTGAGCATTGCTGACACTTGTTCAAAACTTCTCAACCTGGGCTCCTCAAGACAATTCTCAAAAAATACCAACTTATGTGGAAAATCAACATTTTTACTGTATGAGAGGAGAGTGCCGATTGGTTCGCAAGTGAACTCTGATTGGTAGAGACATTGTGAAGGCGAATGCACCAGTTAATGATGATTGGCAGTTAACTGCCGAGCTTTGTTTCAGTGTTAAACCCAGGTGGCAGGTTAGTTCCAACCTTACCGGTAGTGAAGAGGTGAAGGTAGCTGATTCGAGCTGCTACTGTGCAGCAGCAACATGAGTAGAGTTCAATACCAGGAGGAGGCTGCCGTTAACTCCAATAGACATTCTGTCTGTTGCACACACAAATCAGTGGTGTGTGAGTTTCAGTGCCAGTGTGATGCCAGATATTTTGGTCATAAGTCCCAAGTATTGGCAGATCACATCAAATAGCATTTCACTTTAGTTCTTTTGACAAGCACGTTTCCCAGCGATATTGTGTAACTATAAAAGTTTGGACGTGGAGGTGAATGCTAAAAGTTTCTCGTTTGCTTGTTTTAGGAGGCTGGCTGTGGCTACACAATCATCCTTATGGCTATATACTGGTGCACCGAGGCACTCCCACTAGCTGTCACTGCCCTCATTCCCGTGCTACTCTTCCCAATGTTCGGAATCATGGATTCACAGCTGGTAGGTTGCCGAGATTCGGGAGTCAATTTTATTTGTTTATAAAAGGGATGGAAAGGATGGGACGCTCACAGCTGGGGGTAAATAGTCAGACTGTGGTGGGGGGGGGTCGGGTAAATGGTCAGTGCAGGGGTAGATGGTCAGTGCTGGGGATAAATGATCAGAACCGGGAGTAAATGGTCAGTGCTGGGGTAAATGGTCACAACTGGGAGTAAATGGTCAGAACTGGGGTAAATGGTCAGAGCTGGGGGTAAATGGTCAGTGCAGGGTAACTGGTCAGAACTGGGAGTAAATGGTCAGAACTGGGAGTAAATGGTCAGA